GGTAATAGCAACAGACCCAGATTCAGACGCCTATTTGGAATATTCCTTAGTGGAACCCGTAAGAGCAGTGGACAAAACCGGGGTCGCTCTCAAAAGTGCATCTGCTTACGACTACAAAACAGCGTTTCGCATAAATTCCACCAGCGGTCTAATAACAGTGAATCGCGTGCTAGACTACCAAGTAGCTGCAGTGATCATTCTCACGGTCCAAGTGCAAGATTTGAATGCCGTCGTCGACAAGGAGAAACAACTAACAAAAGTTGAAGTAACGGTCTACATTCAAGCTTACAGCGACGACAATCCAACCTTTACGAATCCCGGATGGTCACCGAACAATCCAACGATCAGGATATCCGTGCCAGAGGAACAACCTCTCGGAACAACTCTATTAATGTTATCAGCCAAAGAACCTACCACCGGATACTCCGTCCAAAGGTTTGAATTAGTGAGAGAAGACGACGACGAAGGATACGTGAACGTGGGTGTTCAAAGTGGAAACGTCGTTTTGAGCAGGAGACTGGACTACGAGGCTCTTAATCAAAAAGTAAGTCACAATTCTGAAGAACCCATATAAAAATATATTCAACAATTTAACAATTTTCAGTTCATTCGTTTCAAAGTGCGAGCACTAGCAAGAGACTACGAGATAACGAGAAAAATGTCTGAAGCAAACGTGTTCGTCGAGGTGCAAGACACGAACGACAACAGTCCCATCTTCACTCAAAAAGATTACAAAATTTCAGTATTAGAATCTGCGAAACCAGCGAAAATCGTATTAAACGTTAAAGCTACCGACGTGGACAGTTCCAACACGGAACAGGAAGTTCGGAGAGGATACGGTGAAGTTAGATACTCTTTAATTGGAGAAAACGCCAATATGTTCGAAGTGGAACCAATCACAGGAAACATTCAGGTACACAAAATCTCCTCTTGTCTATTTCAATCGAAGTGTCGTTCGATCGAAGTTAATTGTTGCATCTTTAGATCGCTACGAACACTACGCTCGACAGAGAGAAGCAGTCGGTTCTCCGTTTCTACGTCGTGGCGTCGGACATGCCTCAGGGAGGAGCTGAACAAAGAAGCACAAGAGCTCTGGTGACAGTGGACGTTCTAGACGTGAACGACAACGCTCCGACGTTCGATCAGGCATCGTACACAGCCGTGATTCCCGAAAACGCTTCTCCAGGTGTCAGTGTAGCGAATATCACCGCCACAGATCCAGACGAAGGCGGCGGAGGAGTGATCAGCTACGAAATCATCGACGAAGGCGAAGCAAATGGTGAACAAACACTGCAATATCTTCTAATTAATATTTCTACCCTGAAGCACAGTTAATCGTGCGATTTCTAGGATTGTTCAAAATAAACCACACTACCGGAGAGATTTACTCAGCTCGAGCTCTGACAGGCAAGGGAAGAACCGAGCCGTACATAATGAGAATCAGAGCTCAGGATAAGGGAGAGCCGGAAATGTACACCGACGTAATTTTGACACTCTACATCGGAGACGTAGTGAGCAACGACGGTGTTCCTCTGTTCATCAGACCAACTCTCGAGGAGGTAGCTCACGTAGCTGAGAATTCGACCATTGGCAGTCCAGTGTTCCAGGTCGTCGCTTCGGACCCTGACGATCCTAATTTGCCAAACGGCAAAATCACCTTCAAGTTCCTGGAAGACGGAAATTTCGGCAAGGACGCGAGTGCTTTCAGGATAAACAGCGAGACTGGTCTGATTACCACTAGAAAACTGCTCGACAGAGAAGCTAAGGACAGTTACACGTTGATATTAGTTGCTCAAGATCTAGGAAGTCCTCCTCAGCAGGCAACGAGAGTGCTTCAGGTGATCGTCAACGACATCGACGATCATAAACCTCATTTCAAGAGGAACTTAGACAGTCCACCGATAGAACTCTCTGTACTCGAAGAGAAACCAGTTGGAACCAGGGTTGGAGTGATCGAAGCTATCGACGAAGACATTGGCGAGAATGGAATGATCGATTACGCGATCGTCTATGGAAACGAGGGTGGATTGTTCACTGTGGAAAGGCTAGAAAATAATTCAGCAGTGATCAAATCGAACGGTCGTCTAGATCGAGAAGCAGCTGATCATCATCTGCTAACTATTAAATGCTTCCCTCATTCGACGAAGAAGTCTGACATAGTTCCAAAGCCGTACAATCGACAAGATCCCTCTGAGAGACAGGTGCTCATCAAGATTCGAGACGTCGACGATAATAAACCTATGTTTAAAAAGGAGAACGTCACTTTGGGCGTTCGATTGAACGTTCCAATCGACACCAGTTTGATCACTTTGGAAGCTTTCGACGCTGATTCTGAC